ACATCAAGGTACATAAAAGGTAAGACCTCATTAGTCCTCAACTCGCATAAGTTTCTCAACTTCTCTGAGAGTTGTCGTTCGTATGGGAAAAACACTAACAGTAACAGTATGGGGAAAACGTAACGGTAAAACAGATTTTTTTCAAACAGATTTCTTCAATTAATAATAAAAAATAAAATTTTAATTTGAATAAATAGTGATTTATTTGATAAATGTTCAAGAAGTACTGAAAACTTATGTGAATTTCTGGAACTTCATCTAGCTTTTCCTAATACGACTAATTACCAGTCCGTGCAAAGCTTATTGTTAAATCATCTGAAAATGGAATTTTTAACAGGCGATGATCGACTGTATTGTCAAACATGCGCCAAACTAACTGACTGTTATAAGGAAACAAGTATAGCTGAGGCACCAGTCAATCTAATAATAACACTGATGATTTTCAAACAAGACTCAACCTCTAACGGAAGCAAGAAACTCTTTGGAAGGTTCGAAATAGATGAACATTTCAACCTAGCAGACCACTTATATAATATTCATGCAGTCATTGTTCACTGTGGTTCTGGCGTTGAATGTGGTCATTATTACGCCTTGGTCAAAGAAGAAACGGACTGGTTTAAGTTTGACGATAGTCGTGTCACGAAGTGTTCTGGCGATGCATTGAATTTATTGGAGCCTCTGGAGACACCCTACATTTTGTTTTATGAGAGAGCGGACATTGTTGGATCAAGATCTTCAGATGATGTGGTGCTGCAGGTTTTTCCGGGTTTTCCTGCAGCTGAAAAAGCAAATGCGCCACTGGAATCAATGAAGTCGCCCCGGAGCGCCAATTAATTTTTATTGTTGTATTTATTTTATTTTTATCGTTGTCTTAAAATTCATAAAATGTATTTCGAAATAAACCTTGCACAAATAAACCATAAACTACTGCATCAAATGTAGCTTTGTAGGTTACCTTTTAAAACTATAATGTTGTGGTCGCTGGGGGCGAAGGGGTAAGTGAAAACAAGTTAGCTATTACATCATTTTGTTTCCTTCTTCCTATTATGGAAGTTGATTCTAGCGATTTCTTATATTTCATTTGGTTGCTCAGATATAGTCATTGCAAGTTTTCAAATTGTCACCCTGTATATTCATTAGTTCAAATATCCATTATCAATACCTGAATGGCCCCCTTGAATATTTTCAACAAACCAAATTAATTGATCTGTAAAAGAAATCTACTCGAGCCACCTCATCCGTGAATGTATCCTTTCAATGGCAGATGTCTCTCACGTTTCTGTATTTAACAGACTCCGTAAGAGAGTTGTTTATAACGAAAAGTTGTCTACAACTATCCCTATGGTTTGCCCCACATAAAAAACGTTTATGATACAATTTTACCTATAATACTTGTAACCACAATCATAGATCATTACACAACATTACCACAAATAGTTTTACCTCAAAAAGTTCAAATAAATAATAAAATAATGCATATTACAAAAAACTGGATAATGATGTTCTTGGACGCAAAATCCAGGGCGTCGATTGGACTGACATCTTGGGATGCGATGACCTTGATGCTAGAGTAGATGAATTCATAAATATCCTGCAAAGAAAAATTAATGAGAGCACCAAACTCATAAAATTGAAATGTAGTCAGATCAAACGAAAAGTATGGGTTACCACATCTCTACTCAATGCGATCAACAAAAAAAAACGCATGTATCGCGCACTGAGAAAAAATCCAATTAGCCCGGTTTTGTGGGGAGAATATACATCTTATAAGAGGGAACTACAAAAATTGATACAAAAAACTGAAAATGAGTTCTATAGAAAACGCTTCGAGGAGGGAAAAAATGACTCCAAAAATATGTGTAAAATCGTAAATGAAATCACGACCAAACAGGAAAATTCAGCAATCAATATGATAGAGTCACAAAATGGCGAATAGCTCAAAGACCAAAAAGATATCGCGAATCATTTCAATGATTATTTCATTTCCGTAGGAAAAAATCTTGCTAAAGAAATAAAAGACCACCAAATTATTTAGAGAAAAAGAAAACTTGCGTCCACTATTTATACTTAAACCCAGTTATGGAACAAGAAATCGAAATTATTATCAGACAACTTAAAAACAAGAAGTCTTCAGGCATTGATTATCTCAACGCAGAGACTCTCAAAAAGTGATTTCAAAACATATTCTGCAACCGCTAACATGCCTGATGAATAAATCAATGGAACAGGGAACTTTTCCCCAATCCTTCAAAACGGCTGTTATAACGCCCATCCTTGAAAATGGGAAAACAAGCGATGTTACCAACTACAGACCAATTTCATTAACATCCTTTAGCCAAAATAATGGAAAAGATATTACAGAAAAGGTTGAATAAGTTCCTTGAGAAATATGAAATGTTATCTGAATGTCAATATGGCTTCAGAGAACAAAGATCCACCCAAGAACCAATAAGAATACTGACTCGGAGCATAAATGATTCCATGAACCTTACCAAGCCAGCAATCGGTATTTTCTTGGACCTAAGAAAAGCGTTCGATACCGTCGATCACAATATACTGTCAAATACATTGGAAGATCTTGGAATAAGAGGCAAACCACATAATATTTTTTGTAGTTACCTCTCTAATAGATTACAAAGAGTAAAAATATCAGAAAAAGTTAGTGTTGAACAAAAAGTAACATGTGGTGTACTCCAAGGAACGGTGTTGGGACCCATACATATATCTGAATGATCATTTCATTATAAAAACCTACTTAAAAATCATCAGTTTTGCGGACGATACTATAATTTCATGTAGTAACAATAATTGGTATAACTTAAAAATCAAACTTGAACAAGATATGTATGAAGTTAAAAAATGGTTTGTCTATAGGCTACTATCAATAAATTTCAAAAAAAGTTTTTACTTACCTTTCAGTATCTTTGATGTGAACTTACCAAAATACGAACTTGTAGTATCTAAAGAAGCCGTAATAAAACCTGAAAAAAAGAATTGAATATTTAGTTATAATAATAGACTGCCATCTCAGATGGGATCACCAAATTAAATACATAATAAAAAATTACAGTATATTTTTCACAAATTCAACAAAGTAATTGGTATTCTGAATATGAAACGAAGAAATACACTCTATAAGAGCTTGGTAGAATGACATATGAATTATGGCATAGTTGGCTGGGGTTCATTTTCCAAAACTTACCTCAGATCGCTTGAAGTAATCCAAAAAGGGTTCCTCAGATGTATATTACGAAAAAACTATGACTATCCTAGTGACCTTTTATATAGCTACTCTGGAATTTTTTACTTCATGAGTTTAGTTATTATTCATTACAAGAACAAATCTTATTTGACCCTAACAATCCACAATTGATGATGAAAGAAACAATAAGAATATTATAATACCATTCAAGAAAAAAACAGTAGGACAAAAAAATCCAATTATTCAGGGCCTAAAGTTCACAAGTCATTATCACAGGATATACAAAATGAACCACTCTTTCATGAATTCAAAATTAAATGTACTATGTACTAAATATTGTGTTTTGTTCTCTTTACATGTATGTTTGTACATATTCCTAATATGTCTGCAACTCTAATGCTTGTATGAAATTTACAGTTGCATTTTATTGCCAATAACAGTTATATGTTTTTCACAAGACTGAACTATTACTATTATTATTATGTTATGTCAATGCTCACTAACAGGTGGAATTCCACCTCGTGAGTTAAATCTCCATTAATTCACCATATATTCTTATTAGTCAGTGGGATATGCTTGGAGACTGGCAGTAAACAAATCTAAAGAAATAAACTTTAAACGTTCAAGCCAGTCTCGGATTTACCTACACAGAAGGTTGAATGGACTGACGCCTATCAGAAAACAACTACTCCCCTGGTTTATGCCACGAAGGGCGTTGGATTAGATCCGACAGGCGTCAGTGGAGAAATCTTCACAGAATATTTCCTGCATATGCAATTGGCAATACAACTGCGTATGTAGGTTTCCGCTTTCTACTTCTCCATCTTCATACAAAAAAGAGGGAATCATGGAAAGTTTTAGTTTTCATGAAGATCTATCACCACGTAGTTATGGCTACATCCATGAATTTGTTCATATGGAAGTAGTTGTTTCGAGAATGTTTTTTCTTCCACTCTGGGTCAAAAAGTTACATCTGTGCTTGCTCTACACATCCTTGTAAAGAGTATATTTTGTAATCTTCTTCCATTCTTCGGAAGATGTCACTTTTTTATATGAAGATGAAGAAGTAGAAAACTGAAGACTTTTTTTTCCCTAAAGATTATTTTCTCCTAAAAATGAACCCCTTCCAATCAAAATTACAACCTACGTTGTAATTTTTGAGTTCACTATTATTCATGATCGAAGTCTTCATTCTCATTAAAATTTCCATTGCTTCCTGATTATTTCTTTTTAAACTGTTTTTGTGAAATAAATTAATGTAAAGAAGTTCACTTGGTATTCTTTTAAGCGAGCTATTGGAAAAGCACAAATTATATTTAATTCACACACTTCGAGATATAGATCCAACGAACTAAATCCAGAAACTGTGTGAAAAGCAGTGTTTAACTTCTACAATAAATTCATAGTCGTCTTCACGTATTCTAAATTCTACGCTTTTCTCCCAATCTCAATCTCTTTGAAGTCTATTTCTCTAAACTTAATTTTTCCTTTAGATATTGAAAATGAGCAGATAGCAATTGAAAGTACCCAAAACCTCCATCAGTGAAAAATTTAAAAAAAAAACAGAAATGAATAAGATCGACTTTCTCATTTGAAATCGACTGATTATGATTATGATTATGACAGTGAAATTCAAATTCAAATCATTTTGCAGATAAAGGAACGCCTGAAGGAATCATTTGTCATCAATTTGAACGCAGTCGAGTGGACACATCATATTGATAAAAAAATAGGTAATTTATAAGCACTTATCTAATCATAGAAAAATTAATAAATATCTCAAGCACATATGAATGCTATATAACTGTTGATTTCTGAACTTTTTTGACAGATCGTGCGATTATTGTTCAATAATTCTTATCTTTGTCAATTTACTATTTGAGTAACCTGTTTAAGTCGTTTCATTCACATTCACAGCATGGCGTGGAAACCTTTATTGTTTGTGAGTTTGATATTAATCACAAAAATACACACAGGGTAAGTTACAAAACAATTTTTAACAACCAAATCATGATTCAACTAGGTTTTACAGTTAGGTTTATCATTTTCTGTTTTTAAATATCTGTTAGTTGCTCATCAAAAATTAATTTATTCATAAAAAAAATACGGAAGAGTCACATATTTGTATTATTTGTTTCTTGGAAATTATCACTTCAAAATGCGAAATTTTGAAATTCTTGAAATTACGACTTTAAAGTCAAACTCTCGACTTTAATTTCGATATACGACTTCAAATTCGTAATTTGTTCAGAGTCGAAATTTCAATTTTGAAATCGAAATTTCAACTTTCATCAATTTGGAAATTCATTTCGAGTCGAAATTTCAACTTCAATCTCGTAACTTCGACTTCAATCTGAAAATTTCGACTTCAATCCTAAAATTTATTTCGAGTCAAAATTCCATCTTTAAACTCGGAATTTCGACTTCAATCTAGAAATTTATTAAGAGTCTAAATTTTAATTTTGAACTCGAAATTTCGACTACAATCAAGAAGTTTGAACATCAATTTGGAAATTTATTTCAAATCGAAATTTCAACTTCTCAATCTGTAAATTTCAACTTCAATGCCGGAATTTATTTCGAGTCGAAATTTCAATTTCAAACTTGAAATTTCGACTCCAATGTAGAAGTTTCGACTTCAATTTGGAAATTCATTTAGAGTCGAAATTACAACTTCAATCCCGTAACTTCGTCTGAAATCTGAAAATTTCGACTTCAATCCCGAAATTTATTTCGAGACAAAATTCCATCTTAAAACTCGGAATTTTGACTTCAATCTAGAAATTTATTCAGAGCCTAAATTTTAATTCCAAATTCGAAATTTCGACTACAATCAAGAAGTTTTGACATCAATTTGGAAATTCATTTCGAGTTGATATTTCAACTTCAATCTCATAACTTCGACTTCAATCTGGAAATTTCGAATTCAATCCCGAAATTTATTCAAAGTCAGAATTCCATCTTAAAACTCGGAATTTTGACTTCAAACTAGAAATGTATTCAGAGTCTAAATTTCAATTTCAAACTCGAAATTTCGACTACAATCAAGAAGTTTTGACATCAATTAGGAAATACATTTCAAGTCGAAATTTCAACTTCAATCTCATAACTTCGACTTTAATCTGGATATTTCAACTTCAATCCCGAAATTTATTCAAAGTCAAAATTTCATCTTAAAACTCGGAATTTCGACTTCAATCTAGAAATTTATTCGGAGTCTAAATTTCAATGCCAAACTCGAAATTTCGACTACAATCAAGAAGTTTCGATATCAATTTGGAAATTCATTTCGAGTCGGAATTTCAACTTGAATCTCATAATTTCGACTTCAAACTGGAAATTTCGACTTCAATCCCGAAATTTATTCAAAGTCAAAATTCCATCTTGAAACTCGGAATTTTGACTTCAATCTAAAAATTTATTCAGTTTGGAAATTCATTTCGAATGGAAAAATTTTGACTTCAAAGTCGCAATTTCGAGATTGAAGTCGAAATTTTTAATTTTGAAGTCGTTATTTCGAATTCAGCCTCGAAATATATTTAGAGTAGAAGTTCCATCTTTTAACTCGGGATTTCGATTTCAATCTAGAAATTTTGACTTCAATCTGGGAATTTATTCCAAATCAAAATATCTACTTCAATTTCGAAATAAATATGAAGCTTTATTTTGAGTCGAAATAACTTCGAACTCAAAATTTCAACTTCGAACTTGAATTTAATCAGTTTGGACTCTCATTGTTTGATATGATACAAATTGAGTTGAAATCCATGAAATCTGTGAAAAAAAAAAATAAAAAGAATAGCTGAAAAATAACAATTATGTTGAGCGAAAAAACTGAAATTACAATTGAATAAAATAGAAACAACAACTAAAAAATCAAAAAATTGAAACATTAACAAGAGATGAAAATTTAAAAAAATTATTAACAAGAAATGAAAATTAAAAGATTGCAAGCCAAGTTACTTCAGGACGTTTCGATTGTTAGTATTCACAATAATCTTCGTGTGATAACTGGACTTATTTCTCCGAGATCTGACTATTTATAGGTCATTCGAGTGCTTTCACCTGTCCCCTCTTCCCTCTCACCGCTTCATCGGTGTTAGCAAGAGCTGACCGTTTGGCGGGTGTTGGTCATGTTCCGCTTGATTAGAGGTTTCCATATATATCTCTACGCTGACTTGGCTAAATGCCTCGTTTGACAACATAAATGCGGCTTCTTTGAATTTTCTCCTGAACCAGTGTTCCTCCTTGTGAAAGATTTCAGCTTGAGCCCACTTGATGTTATTTTGATTAGACAAAACATGCTCTGCTATTCCTGATTTGCTGGTTTCTCCTCGCTGTGTGTGTTTCTTGTGCTCGGCAATGCGAACTCCCAATGGCCTCTTAGTTTCAGCGATGTATGATTCGATGTATCCGGTGAATGCATTACTGATGTTATACTTGGACCCAATCCTTCTTATCCTTTCCGACAATCCACTGATGTAGGGAAGTAAACTTACTTGTTGTGGCGGCTTTTCTTTCTTGTGAGGTTCTTGCTGCCTTCTAGCCAAAGTCCTGTTCCACCATCACTTTGAAGTAACCATTCCGTTGAAGGTCATTTTTGATGATACCTTGTTCCTTTTCGAGACCTGCCCTTGTATTGATGATCCCAAAAGCACGGTCTAATAGAGTCTTAGTCAATTGATAATGCTTGGATTCCTGGTTTAGATACTGTGCCGTGTTAGTGGGTTTTCGGTATACATATGTTTCCCATTTAGTGTCGGTCCTCTTCACCAACACGTCTGAGAATGGTAATTCTATGTGGACTTCCTTTTCCATTGTGAAAGTGATGAAAGGACTCACGTTGTTGATGTGCTTCAGGAAGATGTCTAGTTCTGCATTCCCATGGTTCCATATCATGAAGATGTCGTCAACGTATCTGAACCAGACTCGAGGCTTCGTGTGAGCTTCTACAATGACCAGAGTTTCAAACCACTTCATATATATGTTAGCTTTAACTGGTGTTATTGACAATCCCATTGGTAGTCCCTCATTTTGCATAAAAAATTCGCCCTACAGTTGGAAGTAGCAGTTTCGTACATATCATCCTAGTAATTCCATGATTACTTATATTGACATTATATGACATCAATTTGGAATCAAATTATTGTCAATAAGGCTATTGGATGTCTTTATGATTCTAGTGGGGTATTCAATGACCTGTTTGGAATTGAAAGTTTCAACAATATCTAATAATGAGGCAGTAATCCGAGAAATCTAAACAGATTATATCGATATCACCCCCGCAAATGTATCACAAGATATCGTTAGTTCTGACAACAAATCTTCTAGACCAGGGGTTTCCAAACTATGGCCCGCGGGCCAAATCCGGCCCGCCAGTGTCATCAATCCGGCCCGCGACAGCCAATGATTTACTGTCATCAATCTGGCCCGCGACAGCCAATATTGAGATCTGTAAACATTCTTTGTGTACTTCATCTTGGAAAACGTTTTCTCACACAAGTAAGTAGTACCAAAAACAGAAAACAACCCACGAGCAAATTTATGCAAATTATCAAATTGTTCCAGGGGAAGACTCTTACAAAATTCCAACAAAGATGAATTTTAATATTTGTTCTCAAGCATATCACTGCATCGTGAATCAATAATTTCCATTTGGACTTCCGTAGCCAGGTTTTCAATGTCAGAATTAAAAGGATTTTGAAAAAGCTTAATTTCATTCGCAGTGACATTAAAATCTGAAAAAAAATATCTGAATTTATCTTCAAAGCACTCAAAGTTTCGATTGCAAAATTGACGGGAAATTCAGTCTCTGTAGTATGGCTGAATATTTCACATGTTTCAAAATATGTGAAACATTTTTTACGTAACTGCGATTGAAATAGTATTATTTTCTGCCTGAAGGATTTGATATTGGTGTATAAATCAGGGAAAAGCTGATTTTCTCCTTGCAATCTCAAATTCATTTCGTTCGTCTTCTTTGTCAAATCGACATAGAAGGCTAACTTCCACATCCATTCACTATTTTCTAAATTGGCAAAAAAAGCGCTGCTTCTCATTTAAAAAAATTTCGATCTCTGCTCAAAGTTCAAAAAAGCGCTTGAGGACTTTTCTGCCAGCGTACGGCAGTATGATATGGTAAATCATTTTGTCCAATCTGTTGAATAACCTCGCGGAATTGTCGGTGATTCAGTTAGGTGATGATAGGTGATGAAGTTAACAACTGATATGACTGGTTTTAGAACATCAAACATAACCAAATATTTTCCGCATAAGGACTGTTGATGAATGATACAATGTAAGACTAATGGTTTTGAACCACCATCATTTTCTACAGCCTTTGACACGAGTGCAACCACTCCTTTATTTTAACCATACATATTTTTGCCTCCATCAGTTGTTATAGATTTAAAATTTTTCGATCGAAGGTTCTTTTTATTAATGGTATTTTCAACTCCTTTAAAAATATCTGCCTCAGTTGTCGTGCCGTGAATACTATCAATATCAAGAAGTTCTTCTTACACTTCGTAGCTTTCATCTACTCCGCGAATAAAAATCAACACCTGAGCAGTATCTGACTCATCCGTTGACTCATCCAATGCTAGAGAAAACCACTCATGATGTCCATTTTTGTCAGACAGTTGAGATGATATAGTTTCTGCGATGTCTTGCACCTTCCGAGCCACGGTGTTTACTTACAAACTGACACTTTTAAATATATTTACCTTTTCGGGGCATATTTCTTCGGCTACTGCAATCAAGCATTCTTTTATCATTTCTCCATCGGTGAATGGTTTGCCACTTTTTCCGATTTCAAGAGCCACACGAAAGCTGGCGCGAGTTGCAGACTATTGTTCAGTATTCGCTTTGGTAAACAAAGATTGCTGCGATTTGAGTCCGCGTTTCAAAGCTTCAAATTTTTCCTTCCGCAAACTTCCTGTGTACTTGGAGTAACTTTGAAGATGTTTCGATTCATATTGTCGTTTAATGTTTGAGAACAACTATGGTTTCATTATAAATTAAACATAGCGCCTTATTACTGGACTCAATCACAAAATACTGAAAGTTCCATTTTTCTTGGAACGTTCTGCATTCACTGTCGATTTTTCGCTTCTTTTCTATACTAACAAATCACACATAAAAACAATAAGTCAAATCAAAATACTTTTATTGACGGGTGTTACTTTATTTCACAATAGACAGTTTCGCTTCCTTCGCCTTTCCTACGCAGACTAACTCGCAGTTGCGCCGCTAGCCTTTTTATATACAATTATTACTGCCATCTCGAGGTGATCAGAATACACTAGCTAGAACCAGAACTTTCTCGAACCAACGCGGTGATTCCAAATATTTAATTACGCCTAATGCCACCTAGCGGGTAGCTGAAAAAGATAGTACATAGTACCACTACTCGCCACTAGATGTCGTCAAGTGTCACAATACACAATAATAATTGAAATGCAAAAAAAGCGTAATTTGCTTAGGTCACGCACTTTGCGATTATGCCAGTCTAGAAATATAGTTGAGGGCAGAAATTGGCCCTTGGAACAAACTGAAAAAATCATTATGGACCGAAGGCTTTAAAGTTTGGAGACCCCTGTTCTAGACAATTAAAAAATCAAATGTGTTGCTTTTCGGTGATCGATAAAATAACCCAACCTTGTAAATTTGCTTGTTCAATTCAAATTGAACCCAAATTTGATCCAGATAGCCACATGATCGATATTCCAAAATTTCAAATTGGGAGTATTACTTCATTCTTTCCTGCCTTTTCTACATTTTTGTGCGAAGAAAAAAAAAAGGAAAGCCATAAACTTTTTTTCTCAAGAACTGGGATATTATGATGATAATTAGTAGAGAGATCGTCCGTATTCACTCCTTCGCCATATTGTCGTGATATGTGTACTTTTCGATTTGAGATGAACTAAATATAAACAATCAATAATTAAGTCTGAAACATAATCAATAATAGTATATTGCACAAGTGAGAAAAACGAAATATTTCTCAAGAGCGCAGAATCAAGCGAGTGAGTAATATGTCATTTTCTCACGCATTGTACACTGTACTTTTACTATGGTTGCGTTGTTTTCAAGTATTGAAACTTAAAATACATATATAATAATACTTGTATGTCATTACCTCATTTATATATTTTATTTGAAATAGTAATTAACAGTTATGTTTGAACAATTTTATAAAGTAATTCCTGGCAGGTCGTTTTGTTTCAACATGTTTTCGGTGATTGAAATATTAGCTGCGGTCGAAGTTGAAGTTGATGGGGAAACGTACTGAGCTTCCATAGCATTGTTGTGTTCAAGTTCTAATGGCGCTGGAGGCTGAATGGGTTCTACTATAATTTTCAAAATTTTCATTTTGTTAGCTATAGAGTTGTCGATATAAGATTCAGTAACATTGCTGGAATGCCAACCTCCATGACGTTTTAAAGTTGAAAGATCTGCCCCTGCATTAACTGAAATAATCGCCGATGACCTCCGGAAACAGTGGCCTGTATATGTATAATTCAAGGTTCGGTAATTGCAATAATTTCGCTATTTCTTTCGCCATGGTGCCAAATTTATTTATTCCCACAGGTTGTTTCGTACATTTGCTATCTTTGTAATTTAAAAAAAAACACGTGTTTAATTTGTGCATGGTCCTAGCTTCATATATTTTTTGTAAATTTGTTAGAATTCTCCTGTGACTGACAAATTTCTAGGGACCTTGGTTTTAGTATCGGGTAATTTTATTAAAAGGGGCGAATTAAGATCTTCCATGTCATCAATTTTTTATTTTCGAAGTTCATCACAACGGCATGCCCCTGTAAGGCCAATAGCTAAAGTAGCCTGAAATGAAAACCAAACATTCATAATTCGATAACAATTTGAAAATTTTCAATTCATACATCATGCATCTTTTAGAAGTTGTTGAATTCATTCAGAAGTTGAGGTTTTTGACTGTTTGGGAGCACATTTTTCAGATTTGCGTTTTAAAAATGCACGTACTTTTACATATTTTGATATATTAACAGTTTTCAATAATTAAGGTACTCTTCAGCATCGAGTATACTCAGACCATAATGTTGGTGATTTCAATCTTCTTGACAACTCTTCAAAATGAACTAACAAGGTATTTTTTTCAGGAAAACCCATTTTCTGAAAGATTCCAACAATTACACTTTCCCTGATTCGTTTAAATTCGGGATTGCTACTGCTTCATATCAAATAGAAGGTGCCTGGAATGAGGACGGAAAAGGAATAAGTGTTTGGGATTACTATACACAGAATACGAGTTTCGTTATTGATGGGAGAAATGGTAACGTTGCTTGCGACTCTTACCACAAATATAAGGAGGATATCGAGCTGTTGAAGCAACTTGGCGTGAATCATTACAGATTTTCATTGGACTGGACGAGAATTCTGCCTGACGGAATGATCAACAATATAAATCAAAAAGGTGTTGACCATTACAGTAACTTGATAGATGAACTGATTGCAGCTGGAATTGAGCCAATTGTGAGTGTATGAAATAGATTTCCTTGAATCCATTTAAATATAAAATAAGAATAATAATAATAGCGACTTCATTTTTCATTTCAAATAATAAATAATTTTTTTCAACTCAAGTAAATAATAATTGGCATAATAGGCGGAGTTCAGCTTTGAAAAAATTACATAGAAATGTTGTTTGATTATACAACTGAGCGGCTCTTCCACTCAAACTCATAAAGCACCATAGTTATCGAGGGTTGTTCTGTTTCATCAACATAATCATTTTCAGATTCTCTTTAAACGTATCTACTGTCATCTCTTCCAGTGTTCGGAATTTCATTGTGAATTTTCGAGATCTGATAACTATAAAATCTTTGATATTGTTGAGTTTTGCGCTATGGGGGTGTTGAAAGCCCTTCAAACCTCAAGTTCAATATATGTACGTCCGTTCGGAATTCAATTTTATTATAGGGATATTATGTATTTTAGTTTAAATTATACTATGATATAAGCTTGCAGAGTGAAGCAACATCTGATTATCCATATTCTACCAGTTCATAAAAGTATTGGTGATTTGGACCATACATACAATCAGCGAAAGTAAAAGTGGACGAAAACAAGCTCTCGTGAAGTATTGATTTGATTTTTCCTGATAAATATTGTCTACTGCTGTGTATTGATCTCTTTAAACGTATCTACTGTCATCTCTTTCAGTGTTCGGAATTTCATTGTGAATTTTCGAGATCTGATAACTATAAAATCTTCGATATTGTTGAGTTTTGCGCTATGGGGGTGTTGAGAGCCCTTCAAACCTCAAGTTCAATATATGTACATCCGTTCGGAATTCAATTTTATTATAGGGATATTATGTATTTTAGTTTATATTATACTATGATATAAGCTTGCAGAGTGAAGTAACATCTGATTATCCATATTCTACCAGTTCATAAAAGTATTGGTGATTTGGACCATATATACAATCAGCGAAAGTAAAAGTGGACGAAAACAAGCTCTCGTGAAGTATTGATTTGATTTTTCCTGATAAATATTGTCTACTGCTGTGTATTGATTTAAAACATCCCTATGCTCTGCGAATTAGTTCATTCACATATTTTTCAAAACGAATATTCTCATCCATAATGATTCCTAGGTTTCCAGTACAATCAACCACTTCGAGTGTATCTTGTCCAATTCTAATTTCCACCAGCCTTTCCACCAAATTTCTAATAATTTTTGGACCAAAGACTAGAATATTTCACTTACTAGCATTAATTTCTAGACCGTGGTTTGAAAATTAAACTACAAATGCATTGGTATCAATATTGATGCGTTCACATGAATCAGCACTATAACTGGGATCTAATGAATGGTAAATTTGAGTATTGTCTGCATAAAGGTGCATTCGACAATATTTCATTCATCTGTTTGAAAATTAGATTTGTACAAGGCGAAAAGGGAACAGGCCCAAGGATGATTCCTTGGGGTATATATAATCAATACGTATATGTATCTGTCCTGTCCTTTTCAGGAACGTGGACAGGTCACTAGGANCGCCGAACACACACTCTCTTTGGCAACAACGCGATGGCCTCCGCGAAGGTTTTGGAAGGTGCAGCGACATTACTGTCGTTGCGCAGCTTCTTTCACCTTCTTGGGGTTCCCTCCATGGAGGTGCACAAGTGAAGAGGCTTTCCTGCTGGGGCAGCCGGTTCTTTACCTTCATTCAAGCCCGGAGCTCTTGGCGCCCGCCGCAGGAAGTGCCGTTGCTGTTGGAGTGGAGGAGGAGGGTGCACTTATAGTTGCTGCCACTCCTGCCTCCTACGCTCTCGCATTTTTTTGGCCTCGGAGCTGCGAATGCGCTTACGCCTTGGCCTTTGTATTACATCACGAGGTGATCTGCTATATCCAACCTCATTCCAAGCAGTAGATTGGGGTGAACATTCAATAATAATAATGATATATTTATTATTTACCAACACATAAAGTAATACAAAATAACTTTACAAAACAAAAGTATCAAATGCAGGTGAATGAAAATAGAACATTTAGACTCTGCAGCCAATTCTTCCACAGTCCCCTTGAGAAGCCAATGAAAACATATACATGATAAGAAAAGTAAACTATACATTTTAGAACTCTAATCAAATGTTTTGTTAACCAACTATGGTTGTTGATTAGGATTCCATAAAACATAATCAAAAGGTACAGGCAACAAACTATGGTTAACTAAATAGAAATTGTTTATACCTAAATTTGAATGCATCATAAGACAACGAAAAGTTAGGTACATACAGGACATCGCCGAAAATTGCTTTATTATAAGAGAAAGATCGTTTGAATACTTCTTTCTTATGCTTGGGTATAGTTAGCATGTTCCTCCGTCGCAAGTTCAAATGATGGACATCAGTCCTAAATCCAACTTTTTGATATGAGTATTGGGGGATTTTATTTTTCAAAATTTTGAAAAAAAACATACCATATGATGCTTTCGACGGTTGAACATAGTTAGCCACCCAGCATCCTTTAATTTATGTGAAATACTCATAGGACGCTGTATTCCATATATCATTCTCATACAAGAATTTTGAACCTTTTGTACTCTTGTTATATCAGAACTATCGATACAAGGTCCATAAACTACGTCACACTGATTGAAATGGGAGAGAACCATACTATCACACAACTTGATATTCAATTTGTAGTTCGGAAAGTGTCTTTGACTGTAAATAAGTTTCAATGACATATATGCCTTGATGTAACCATCTTTCAGAAATACCAATTATGTCATAGCTATTATCATCAATGTGAACATTTAACGCATTTAAATGAGGTACCAATGATCGTACATTCATATGTGCAACGGATAAAAGTATTGCCATTTGAGAATTATTATACACAGATAGAGAGAGAGAGAGAGAGAGAAAAGAGGAAAAAAAATGTCAGTTTGAAGCAAATATAATAACAGTGCGTGGAATCCTCTGCAGAAATTATGAACAAAATAATGAATGTTTTAACAAACGAACAAAAAATATATACACAAAAATGTTTTTCCAAGTAATGAATAGGCAGAAAGAAATATATTGGTTAACAGTCGCGAATTGAAATTGTTTTTACTCTGATTTTGGTTGACGTGGCCTTTTCTTCCTGAGGAGTGATCTGCCGAATCAGAGATACCGCCGTTTGCTGTTCCTAAGACTCCTGATACTACGCCGTCATTCAATTGTTGTGAGCCGTATATGTCTGACCTTTTATAACCAAGGTATATCCTCTGATAGTTACATGTAGATTTTGTTCACGTGCGCGTTTCATATGATCCTTCAAAATCTTCAATTGGTCTCTATCCTCCTGACACATATCATCGACAATGACGACTTTATATCCTCTGATAGTTGCATGTAGATTTTGTTCACGTGCGCGTTTCATATGATCCTTCAAAATCTTCAATTGGTCTCTATCCTCCTGACACATATCATCGACAATGACGACTCCAGTACTTTTCAATTTATGGATATTGGAAAAGATAAGAGTTTTTTTCATATAGGAAATGAATTCCAATATGAATGGATTTTTCTCAGCTTTTCCAGCTACATATATATTATTAATATCAGCTTCTGTTGAGTTCACATCAAGGACCTTGTTCAGTTTTAGAAGTGTTTCCTGGGCTAAAGAGTATTTTTCAATTTCAAGTACAAAAATAGCTACACCGTTTCTCCTTAGTCTCCGCCTTAGTCTCCGCCTTAGTCTCCGCCTTAGTCTTCGCTAGTTTGATGTTGCAAATGCAAAATATCATCAGCCGTGCGCTCAATTTTCGAATTTAACTCTGAGATACTTTTGGACAATTTATTTTCCAAATAACTCGTTTGCTCCTGACACAACTTTTTGAGCTCAGTGGTTTGTTCTTCATTAGCTTTCTGAATTGACTGAAATGACTCGTGGTGCAACAGAGATAATGATAAAATCCACCGACTTTAAATGGTTGTTTCAGAGCAATATACTATATTGATTAATTTTTCAAGTGCATATAATAGATATTCCAACGTTTTGTTTCAATAAATTGATACTAATAGGTAGTAGTAGTTGATAGGTACCTTGCTTAAGATCTAAAGAAAAATCGAAGTCACGTTGCACTTTCAACTACTATAAATTGTCAATTAATAAGGAGCACATTTTAACACTACCAATCCGTTCTCATCTCCATTTCTTAGATTGAGATGAGCACTTCTGTCCAGCCTCGGGATTGGTTTTTGTTTTTGCTGTTTCTGGTTTTGTGATCGTTTCATTCATGTGTGTTCCCACGAGTAGCGTGCGGCCATTCAGCTGTCGGCACGATTCCTTACACCTTAGCTTGGGTAGGCTGGTCCACAGTGGCATGTTTTGCAAAGGCTTTTGTGGAATTTCACTTCCCCTCACCCAACTTATTTCTGCCATTTACCAGGAGTCCGACGACCACCTCCGTAAGGCCACATTGGCTTCCCGGACAGCTCACGGGATGATCAATACGTACCATTTGGCGTCTTTCCGTCAAATATGATCTAAGAAGTGAAACTGTGCTTTCAGTCATACCGAGATGTATCAGGATTGATAATGAGATATCATGATTGGTTGTATCGAATGCACATGTACCTAAGAATCAATAAGGTAATGCATTTGCCCATGTCTGTTGGTTCCATGATATCATCAACTGCATGGAGAAGTGCCGAAGCGCAACTGTGGCCTTTTCTGAATCCAGTCTGTGCTTTAATTTGTTTTTCCATTATGTCTTCAATTATTTTGGACATTGACCTTCATAGACTTTCAAATGATTTTGGATTCGATTTTTTGGAAATAATGTAACAATGGTACATCTCCATACAGATGGAAACAAATTACTGGAAAAAAAAATTGATTATATGCGTTATGAAGGGAACAATTTGAGGGCAACACAGTTTGATCATTTTCAAGTTTTTTCCATCGCGTCCTGTAGAATTACTTTAAATTGAAGTCATTTATCATTTCATAAACAACTAACTCATCAACAGCTTCAAATCTAAATTCCAGTTTCATAAGGGGATGATTCTTGTGAAAATCTGAAAGGGTTGTAGAATCATCCGTTTCAGGTGAAGAATTTATGAAAAAAGTATTAATTTCTTGATGATTTTTCAAGTGGTTTGGGATGTTAATTTTTTTCTTCTCGTTAAATATGGCACGTATATATGTAATATCTTTCGATTGTTATTCTTGAAAAATTACTGAATGGGTAAGTATGAAAGCAAATAACCGTAAATTTTGAGTATTTGCACAAAATGGAACATTTCCTCGATAATATTATTGTGAAATATCTATTTAATTTTTTTTTTTCGTTTTGCACACTATTTGTTCCGAAAACATATGCATTAAGCATTTCACAGTTGTACAAATATTAACGCAATAACAACATTTTTATCGAGAAATCCAGATAGTTCTCAAAAAAATATTCGATCTTCGATGAGTAAAATTTTTAACCTCAGGCGTGAAATGAATGAATGATGACAGTTTCAGTCATCTTCTGAAGATGTTAACTTGATTAGCGAAACGCGCGTTGCGAAATATTTTTTTTTGTAATAAGTCGAAAGTGTTTTTGATAGAAACATTTGGTTTTTCTAGTGGTAGAATCTCCATATATTTTGAAGAAACATTTTCGATTTAAATATGAAATTACTCAAAAATCCAAAAGCATCGAAAACTGACAGAACTATATTCAAAACAGTTATCTCCGTAAGTCTCGAAGCTAGGTAGTTTATGTTCGTTTCTATTGAATAACTATCAGGTTACTTGAAAGTGAGCTTTTCAAAAATCGAGCGAACTTTTTGTTATATATTTTCGTGAGTCTCAATTTTCGTAATTCAAGGAATATATTATATAAAGAGAAACACATTGATTTTCTAATTGTAACAATAACAGGTTTTCAAGGAACGTGGGATATATTCAAGCTAGTCTAAGTGATAATCAACTAAGTCCCACCTATCAAGTATCAAGGTGGCGAGTGTCTGGTTTCAACTCTTCAGGTATTCTATTTCATGTATAACATTATCACTTTCGTATTTCACAGATAACCATCAACCACTGGAATTTTCCAAAAAGTTTGGATCACTTAGGAGGTTGGTATAACCCTAAAATCGTCGACTACTTTGCTCAATATGCCGATCTTCTCTTCAACTTATACGGAAATAGGGTTAAAACTTGGATAACTGTCAACGAACCCCATACCATATGCATGCGATTAGTGGGTCAGTTTCAAATTGTAGATAAGACCTTTCCAAGGGGTGTTGCTGAGTACATTTGTGGTCACCACTTCTTGAAGATGCACAGTGCAATGTGGAATATCTACCAGACAAAGTATAAAAAATCACAAAAAGGTAATTGATACCAGGTAACTTCTTCATAACCTGAACATTATAGAATCCACTTAATACTGATTTGTTTGTACTGGCCTTGGTACTAATTGTAACACATTCATATATATTATGATGAACTTTTTTCTCGGGTGCCTCTCCATGTTCTGTGTTGAGAAAATAATTCTTATCAGGATAAAGAACACAGAACTCTGAGCGAAACCCTATAAAACAGCTCATCATACTTTCTCCGTCAGAATCTTCTAGTTATTTTGATTTGATGGTCTAATCCCTCTGGACCTGTACGTTGAGGAGGTTGCATAAATGCCATGTTACGATTGCGCACGGCTGGTGTAAACCTCTAAGTAGGAATGGGTCAATTGAGGCTAAGCCTATGGCGAGGAGCGCTTACTGCGCAACTTTTGCTGCAGGCAACCAGTGATACAATTGAACCCAGGTTTGTGTTTAATGAACCGTACAAAATACAAATAAAACAAAACACAGAGTCATATACTGCAAATGCAATACGCATATATACAGACGGCTCAAAAACCAAAGAAGGATCAGGATGTGAAGTGTCTCCAGATCACTAAGCTTGAGGACTAAGTGGGGAATGGGAAAAATACCATCATGGTTCAAACCGAACTAGCAGGAAAGGAATTTCTGGCAAAAACATAACAATCTGTACTACTAGCAGACAAGACCTATCAGAACTGACGACGTGTTACCTCAGGGCTAGTACTAGAGTGCCACCAAGACTTAGTCAAAGCCTCGGTAGATAATAACATTATCCTGAGGTGGGTTAAAGGGCACGACAGGAGTAAAGGCAGACGCAGAGCCGAGTCTTTAGCCAAGGAAGCAATTGGATTAAGAATTTAAGGACCCAGTGGCACCTACGGCCTGATGACTTGGCAATTGCGGAACTAGCCAAACGTTACACCCATGCTCAATCCCTAAAGAGATGGGATGGAATCAAAAGATGTGCTCTTGCCATGAAAAGGTTTGTAAGGACTGGTGAAAGAGAAGAACCCATGGGGGCACCCTTTAGTTTGTGAGAGATTCTTTGGAAGAGGAAGTATGTGCTGGACATACAGTGACTAATGAGGTTGAGGATGCCTTTGGAAATTTGGTGTTTTGTTTCTAGAATATTCTGTATTTCATATTTGTGAATAAAGACACTATGTCGAAACTCACAAGGATGTCAGTATGTTGGATATTGAGGTTTTTGAGAATTTCGATGAAGTGAAATGAATTTCGTACTTATGACAAGGACTGTTCTGCCACCCCTTGTAAAAGAGTCCAACGCCCAAGTTTACTGAATATATCATCAGATCCTATCGAACACTTCAAGATCATAACTGCTATGCTGATAATTCTCATCAGGAATGTACTGAGCCTGAATCATTGAAAAAGTTAATTTATCTCAACCACAATTTCAGTCAAAATACCTACTCTTATTGAAAACACAATAGATCCTTTCAAAAATATACTTGTTTACGATAGTTGAGATACCCTAATGCTTGTTTTTCAGGAAGAGTGGGTTTAGCGCTGAGTTTGCAGAGCTACTTGCCGAAGACTGATGCAGAAGATGATAAAAAAGCTGTGGAAAGAGCTCTTGTTTCTGCGGTGAGTACAAGTGGTAATATGTATTTCACGGCATATGTATTTTACGGGCAAACATCAGTTTTCCTTTTTTTTTGAAAGTAATTATTAACGTCTCCTGGCGAATATTACAAGTATGGTTTTATTATATCAACAATGGTGTTAATAGTTTTCCAAATGAGAAAAAATGAATTGATTGTTGGAGTTATTGGAAACACTGAGAGTGATTGCAATGGAATTTTCTGTAGAGTAAGTCAAAGAGAAAATGAATATCAAAAATTGAAAAAGAGCAATTTCGAGGCGTGAAATGCAAATTAATTGATAATGGTATGAACAATAACTGAATCGTCAAATGTATACAGACATTAAAAAATTATAGTACAATAAAATTATCAAGACTAATGATGGAAAAATTCCGGAAAAAGAAAAATAAGACAAGAATTTCAAACCACGGTACTTCACGACATTTCAATTGTTATAGTATCTACAATATGTTGAATAACTATTATGAAATGATGAATTAGGCACAATCATCGAATATTTCCGAATTTATTTTCGTATGTCAGTCGAATACCAATGTTACATAAAAAAACTCGTTTATATTTGTTCATAACCTGTTTTGGTACACGAGCATATGATTTCAAACCATTCACTATAGCCAAGTGAATACAGCGGCATGAACATATGTGTTTTGAGTTTCCAGCAAGTATAATATTTGAAAAGTTTTTTCACAAAAGTTTCATTTGTTTTTATGAGTATACTTCAGACTGTAATATATCTGCCAATATCACATAAGTCCATGAATTCCGAAAGCATGAAAATTGTGTGCTCGGGATTCGATGCAGTCAACAAAGGCCGTTTTTGCCTGGTCCTGATTGTTGAAGATTCTATCAAAGTAACTTGAAAAGATGGTAGTCGCTTGGCGAAAGGTCTGGGATGTATGATGGGTGAGACAGAACTTCAACGTTCAATTCGTTCAATTTTCAGACGGTGATTGGAAAAACGTGTGAAAAGGTGGATCGAACCTCTTTTGCTGACCAGTGCCCGTCGCTGCTGTTCTTTTTTGGTGGGTTCTGTATCTGTAGATCCATTGTACATCCTCCCAAGGAGTTGTCATCGTCCATCTAGTCCTTTCCAGGAAGGTGGACAGGTCACTAGGAGACATCTCCTTTATATTGGCAGGTTTAGGCCAAATCTCGCCGAACACGCACACTCTCTTAGGCAACCTTAAGATGTCTCACGGTGGCCTTCAGGAAGGTTTTGGAAGGTGCAGTGACATTACTGTCGTTGCGCGGCTTCTTCAACCTTCTTGGAGTTCCTTCCGTAGAGGTGCATAAGTGAGAGAGCTTTCCTGCAGGTGCAGCCGGTTCCTTGCCTTCATTTTGCGGCGGAGCTCTTGGCGCCCGCCGCAGGAAGTGCCCTTGCTGTTGAAGGTGAAGTGGGGGAGGGTGCACTTATAGTTGCTGTCACTCCTGCCTCTTTAGCTCGCTTTCTCCTTTTGGCCTCGGCGCCGCAAATGCGCTAATGCCTTGGTCTTTGTATTACATCAGGAGGTGATCTGCCATGCCCAGCCTCATCCCAAGCGGTAGATTAGGGAGGACATTTCTGTTCATTCCCAGCCACCGCTTTAGATTGAGGTGAGCACTTCTGTCCAGCCTCGGGATTGGTTTTTGTTTTTGTTATTTCTGTTTTTGTGTTTGTTTCATTCATGTGTGTTCCCACGATTAGCAAGGGAAGAGTTGGTCACTTCTGGCAGAGCCCCGCATTACCAGAGGTAAGCTGATTCCAATGAGGTTTTGCCCAGTTCCCCAAGAGGATCCATCGTGACCCCATGCCACCCTGCGATCATTCAGCTGTCGGCACAATTCCTTATACCTTAGCTTGGGTAGGCTTAGCTTGAGTGGCATGTTTTGCAATGGCTTTTGAAGGGTTTAAGTTCTCCTCACCCTACCTTTCTCTGTCACCGACTAGGAGTCTGGCGATCCCGCCCGTAAGGTCACATTGGCTTCCCAGACAGGGTCTCCAATCCCCTGGCAGTTCCCATACCCGTCATCTGGGGACGCGCCCGATAGGTAGCCCAACCGACGGTTTTTCGTGGGCTTTCGCCTCCGGAAAGTGCCTGGGTGATTCATCGTTGTCCAATCACTGTCCTAAACGTTTTCTATTATCGCAGAAGTTCCAATCTTCATCAGAAGTGATGATCCGATCCAAAAAAGAATCGTTCTGGTTGTGCAAAAGCAAAGAAGAACAGACTTTGAAACGAGACACCCACTTTCAAGCTATTTGACCTCTCCAATACGTTATAAACCATCAAAGCCACATGGAAGCTGACATCCAATTTTTCCGCCATCCCACTCACCGTTTGTGATGAGGAAGTCTTCACTAGAGTCCTCATAGTCTAAGATCCCAGGGTCCCCAGACGTTACTTATTTTTGAAGTAACGAATTTTACGGTATAGACACTCTTCTATGTGTTTAAGAGTGTGTGTGTACTAACTAGTTTGACTAGGCGGCCCGTTCACAGGTAGCAGGTAGAAAAGGTAGACAAAAACATAACTTACTTTTGTTAAATTCGAAGTGCTGATTTTTATATATGTCACATAGAATATCATTAAAAATAAATATTTCATATTGACAGACCATTTCTGTGGGCGGTAATTCCTCCCAGACGCTTGAAACCTCATAAAAAATTACCGCACTTTTGTTATATTCGAAGTCTTCTGCTTTATATATGATGTTTGGGGGGCTATTTTAATACCTTTTGTGTGCAGCCAGACCAATCCGGAGGGCCAAACATTCTCCCAGACACAATTGAAATTTTTATTAAGCTCCCCGAAACAATTAATTTTTTTGCCTACAAAGGGTTTGTTTTCAACAACAAATTGCTAGCAAATTACTCTGAACAATATTGGATAAGCCACAATCAATTATAATTTTTCCTACTGCTTTAAAATGAGCCATCGTGATATGGAAAGGCCCCAAGTGTATGAATAAATTATCAAATGCTGGTTTTTCGGTGGATTGAATTTGTAAGGCAACTTTTGCTATTGCAAGGTCGTAAGTCACTTGAATAGAAGTTTGCTGTACATCCTGACATGAGACTTTTATGAGAGTTTTAGAAACATGAGACTTTGTCTCATAGTTTCTAAAACTACTGATCTATCGGTAGGTGATGCATTTATAGGAATCAGGTAAGACACTATTTGTTTTGAGCTATTATTGTCACTCATTGAGCAGTTGAAACCAACCCACATTGGCACATTTGGTAATCGTAAAGCATGGCTCAGCATCCAGATTGTATCGATTTCATCATATAATGGTGAATTCGCTGGGTTCGAATTTTCAGTTTCACGGACTGATAGTCGCAGATTATCCATCATACGTGGTTTTTTAGGGCATGGAACTTCATCTAAGGAAATAGCCTCAAATGTTCTCCGTCTTCTTTTTTTCGAGTTCGAGATAATGTCAATGGAAGACGATGGATCCATTGTTACTGAGTCATCTGTAGTACTAGAATCTAAATTTTGGTATATTATACCAACGGTATCGTGCAGCGTATCTTTTCCACTTTTTGTTTCTACGAACCGGTCAAAATTATCGTACGCGACACCAGTAGACAAATGTTGAGATTTTTTTATTGTTTCAGGACATAACGAAGATTTTTCAATGGATGTATGAGTTGCTTCTGTTTCTAATTCTTCGATTCCTTGATAACTGATGCAATGTCCATATCTGTGAATAATGTCGATAATTTTTCGACTACTGGTTAAGCTCTTTAATGACATTCCTAGCATAATGTGCTTTGATGTTTTGATTTTTCAATTGTGAATACTGTACACAACATCTTCACAAATAGAGTTTACTTGGCGAATGCATTTTCGATTTTGTTTTCGCTTTCGACTACCACCAGCAATCATAGTAAAAAAAAATCTAATAAATTCAGTCGAATACCAATGTTACATAAAAAAACTCGTTTATATTTGTTCATAACCTGTTTTGGTACACGAGCATATGATTTCAAACCATTCACTATAGCCAAGTGAATACAGCGGCATGAACATATGTGTATTTGAGTTTCCAGCAAGTATAATATTTGAAAAGTTTTTTCACAAAAGTTTCATTTATTTTTATGATTATACTTCAGACTGTAATATATCTGCCAATATCACATAAGTCCATGAATTCCGAAAGCATGAAAATTGTGTGCTCGGGATTCGATGCAGTCAACAAAGGCCGTTTTTGCCTGGTCCTGATTGTTGAAGATTCTATCAAAGTAACTTGAAAAGATGGTAGTCGCTTGGCGAAAGGTCTGGGATGTATGATGGGTGAGACAGAACTTCAACGTTCAATTCGTTCAATTTTCAGACGGTGATTGGAAAAACGTGTGAAAAGGTGGATCGAACCTCTTTTGCTGACCAGTGCCCGTCGCTGCTGTTCTTTTTTGGTGGGTTCTGTATCTGTAGATCCATTGTACATCCTCCCAAGGAGTTGTCATCGTCCAACTAGTCCTTTCCAGGAAGGTGGACAGGTCACTAGGAGACATCTCCTTTATATTGGCAGGTTTAGGCCAAATCTCGCCGAACACGCACACTCTCTTAGGCAACCTTAAGATGTCTCACGGTGGCCTTCAGGAAGGTTTTGGAAGGTGCAGTGACATTNTATGAAACCTACGATGTTGCAAGCGACAAGGGTTTAGTATTTTTACCAGAGCGTGGGAATTCTGTATGCCGCCTCTCCGGTGGCATACAATACATGAAATCCTTATTATATCAAACAAAATGTCTTTGATTCTGAAATAAATTTCACTTATTCTCACATACTCCTGATATAACGTTATAACGAAATAACTCCATCAATTTCATCAAAGTCTTTTCAACCTTCGAATGATTCATAATCAATGAATTTAGAATCATAGAAAAACTATTCTCGAACGTCACCATTCAATATACATTCTAGTTACGGAATCATCATCTCTCAGGTTGGTTATTCATTTTCTTCAACCACTGCCAGGTATTTGTGTCCTATCAGTTCCTGAAAC